AGCCTATATAATAATTTAGCAAACATTTGATATTATGTATTTAATATTTTGGCCGGTGAGAAAAAGCATGATGTTGGACCTAAAACTTTGGCTGTATATTGTCCACTGATAGACTTGGTGCCTTCTGAACCTGATACAATGTTGACAGCGATGGTTGAGGCTGAAAGGCGATCACAAGAGACAGGATAGATATACACACTTTCACCTCAGATCAACAACTCTACCGTGTTGTGGTGAATATTCTCTGGGTTCAAGCTCTTTACTCCCCGACTTGGAGCGATGCATACCCCGATGAACTTCGTTGATGCTGTTGGAACCTTGATGGCACACAGTGGCTTAGAAGAATTTATGCAGGCAGCTTTCGGTGTTGTTCCAAAATTTTTATCTGGAAAAAGATTCCCTCAAAACGTCCGAGCCCTCAGAATGATGATCACAATGGTGACCTTGTGACACAAGAGTGCAACAGTTGTGATGATCTGATGGAACTGCTAGAAGAAAAAGCCTCAAAAGGTCGCATAGCCAACATGTGGTTGGAAAATTTAATAAAGCCTGTCTTCACCATGATACCAACATCCGAGCAGAACCCGAGGGTGACTGGACTCTGCAGCTATGTGCAGTCTCACAGATGTTACCATACTTCTTCGCCTCTGGGCATTTCAATTACGCCAGGTAAGATTCAAATTCATTCCCAATATTACTAGACCTATTACCTCCAGATGTACTTTCGTGTTTTTTTTATTTACTATTTTTTAAGGGCCTCGTATAATAATGGACTGACTTAGATCTCGGGTAAAATTAAATGAAGATGACCAATTTTTAATAGGAAAAGGATTGAAATGAAGTTTTACAATGCTAATGCTATTCTTAGTCGAGATATTGTGTTAAGGTCGTTTGTTCATATTAAACTTATTTGTGCCCCTTAGACACACCCCATGTAGTTCTAAACCTTCTTTTTCAGGTATTTCCTGTATTACCTCCGTTCCATGGAAAAACTGCCTGATGAAGTACTAGAAGAGTTTGTAGTGGACGTCTCCCCTACAAACTGCGTATCGCATTCCAATGTGCCGCCTTCCCTAGCAACCAACCAGATGTTACCGTATCTTAGCAACGGAACCAGTCACAGGCGACTTTCTGGGTTTTCCCAACATGACTCATAGAGGACTGGCGGCTGCTGCTGGGTATATAAGCTCTGTCTCTCCATTGAGATTCATTCTGACCATTCTTCTGAACAAGCAACACCTCCTCCTCCGCCGCTGCCTGGCAGCCCTCGCATCTCCTCGCCTGCCTGGCGGTCCTCGCTCCCGCCAGCGAGCATGGCGACCCACCAGCTGTTCTTCTCTGAGCTTCCTCACCAACCAACTCGCATTCGGCCCATCTTCCTGAACACGCAACATATCCTCCCAGCAAGCTCCTAGCTGTCCAGCATTCATTCAACCAGGAGGCCAGCAACAGGCAACATCTTCTCTAACGAAGCTCCTGCACATCTACCTCCTTCAACACGCTACTCACCGAACGTCTCTACTGACCAGCCCCTCACCACACGGCACCTCCAGCACCAGACTGTCTATCATATAACTTATATTATACAAGAAAACCACATTAGAGTTTCCTTCCATCCTGAGTGCTAGACAACATTAATATCTCGATACCCCTACAAGTTCCTGAAGGGTCACCATGTGACGAGGCATGTTGCCTGCATATGGAACTCCATTTGGTCTGACTTGTAACATTGAGTCAACATTCATGAGGTATGGTCATAGTCCAAGTGGGATTATTGGCATCACACTTTAGCCAACAGCTTTGAAGTACTGCGCCTAGAGTCTACATACATACTGTCGGCTCATTCAAGATGTTGTATCTTTGAATGAGAACAAAACCAACCAAGGCTGTGTCACCGATAAAATTCCAGCACATAAAGCGATTGATGCTGTTGATCGAGAAAATTTCTAACACAAGCTTGCCATGTATTAGCTCCTGTCTTATCGACATAACTATTTATATAAATATGAGTTAATATGCTAGTAATGTGTAACTATCACCCCCTGTAATTTTCCGTAGCTGTGAGGTAGCATGTTTAAAGCACGTGATGGGTAAGTTCCACGCATTAGGTGTGTCCCCAGAATACCCAAGGTCAGCTATTTTGAGCTTGACCCACGAGCAGTATCTACTCAGTTCTCAATACAGTTGGACGTCCTTAGAGCCTATCCTTGATAGCTCCATCCTTCCCCTATCCCTCACAGTTACAATGACTATTACGGTGATTATCCTTTGGACAGTGTACATAGACTCTTTTGATAATAAACTAAGAAAAAGAACATATTGGGTTTCGCTACTAAAACCCAATAAACATTTATATATGTTCTAATTCGGCTAGAATATAAGGTAACAGCTTCACAAGTGCCTGTTACGAGTGTGTCCATTCAGCAAGGTTGTTACATATATGACAGCTTTACAAGTAGTGACATCCAACAAGTAACAGTCACTTAACAGTTACACAATTGGTAACGGTAGAGATAATTTGTTATCCCCATCACTGTGTTACACTGTCACTAAAAGTTAGTGTTACAGCCACATGCATCCATCCACTCCAGTCAGACCTCCAAGGCCAAGATATAACCAAAATTGCTACAGGACGGATTGCCCTAAAAGTCGTTAATGTGGACCGATCTGTTAAAATTGGCAGAAATGAACTGCAGCGTTATGAATCAACATGGCAGAACTGCTTCCACAATTCCCTGAAGAAGCAAGTTGTTACAATGTCAGTTTCAATGAAGCAAGTAAAAATTGGAGAAGTACAAATGTTCGATACCTCCCTCATCTTTTCAAGAGTACTGTGTCTGCAGCAAGTTCATGCCGTCAGTATCAAAGATGTTCTTCAGTATGAATTATTATCACTGCCACCGTCCTTATTTGAAGACAATGGTGACATGCGGACAAATAAAGAGCAAGGCCACCTTGACGAAAAGGTTGGGAGTGGAACTTTCTTCTCGTTTCGTTGAACAAGCTGAAGTAACTGTGGTAGATGGATGCGCTGTCCTATGGATCATCTCATGGCCTTCCAGGGGTACAGTCGAGAACTTCATCAAGAACAAGATTGCATAAATCAGCAACAAATTACAGACGACTGATGTATATCTCATCTTTGACAGGTACTACCCAAATAGTATCAAAGATGCAATGAGGATGTCAAGAGCTACCCCTTCAGAATGTTGTGCTGACAGTCAAAGAGAATAAAGTGAAACTGATAGATCTTGTCTGTCAGTATCTACAGGAAAATGCCGAGCTTCTTCCACAGAGTGGTAGAAAGTTCATCACTACTGCCCGAGACTCAGTACCCAAAGAGATTCAGTTGGGTAATGTCATGTGTAAACCAGACATGAAAACGCTTCACGAAGAAGCGGATGTGAATATCGCAAAACAGGTGTTGATTCTTGCCTCAAGTAGTGTTGATTGCATCAAAGTCATTTGCGATGACACGGATGTGTTTGTGCTGCTAATGCACTACTCATCACAGAAATTAACCTGCAAGATATTCACGGAGGGATCTAGTCCTTTAAGGTCTACCATTGACATCAAGACCACATTTGAAACGCACAGGGATCTTGTTGATTACATAATGGCAGCACACGCAGCACACGCAGCACGTCGTTCATCTCTATGGTACCGCCATACAGACATTGAAATCTGGTCATCGTCTTGACAAACTTGGGAAAATCGTTGCTGAGATAACAGAGGTTGTCTCTCAAGACACCAAATTTGTAGCAGCATGTTATGACTCGAAGGTCATCCATGATATGTCTATGTACGATTTGATGTTTGGACATCCAAAATGTCCAACAAAAGGCTGACTTAAGCTCCTGAGATGAGATGCTTGCCTCCAACAATTGCAGCATTTGAACTACATGTGCTTATGGAGCAATACCAGACCATGATCTGGAGAGCAGCCTAAGAAATTGGTCCACCAAACCATGACCCAAAGCAGTACGGATTGTCAAGTGATCAGGCGTCCTATCTTCTGTTTTTAGTTCCATTGCCTTCACATGTGTCACTAGTACCAGATATGGCCAATCGGCCATGTTGAACTGCTCGATGTAGTTATGTTGCTGCCATGCTATCATGCCCTATGTTCTGTTGTTGTTATGCAGAAAAATGTGTGCCACAATTAAAGAACCACGACAACTCTTGGTGTTAATAAGGATGATGAAGGCAAAGATGGCAGTGTTGATTAATATCAAATATTTGAGTGTATAGATATATTAGAAAAATACAGTCCTATAATTGATGATATTGTGGATCTTTACAGAGTCCGGAATAAAATGGAGTAACCTTTTAGTGTATATAAGATTAAGATCATATGTGAATATGTCTGTTTCCAGAGTATGCAATTAGTCTTAGTCACTAAATCATCACTTTCTCTTATGAATGAAAGCAGAAATGTCTCCTATAATAGTCTTGGCACCCATTTTACACGCCATCTTAACTACAGGTGTACATATTTCAAAAATAGTGTTTTTGAAGTATCTGTGTTGCATTCTTTGACCCTGAATACCCATGAATCAACCCAAATATAATTGTTCTATGATGCTTAGCGTTGAAATATCAAACTTTATGTCTTCGTCGGCCATCTTGGACGCTATCTTGAATATTTTATTTTCCCTAAGGGTAACAAAATGGCATTCGGCAGATTTGGATTCAACATCCTCAAATTATATAGAATGAGTCAAAAAACTTTATCTGGACGACAAATCCGGGTATTCTCTGTTTCTCCCAGACTACAGTGAGACGTAGTCACGCCTAAGGATAGAAAGACAGGCAGATGCACACACGTTTACAAACAGAAAGAAAGACATATACACACGTCCACAGACAGAAATGCAGAGAGATATACACCCTAACAGAAAGAAAAGCAAAAAATAAATAAAATACAGTACTTGTATAAACTGTACACCCACAGACAAAATGCCATGGTCGGGTGGGAGGAGAATGGCAAAATCACTCACACGGATGAATATTAGCGAAGCGGTTCTTTGGTTTATTGAAGTCCTTCTTGGCGGCGAAAGCTGGCAAGCTGGGACTCTGAATGTTTATGTGTGAAAACTCCATCTCGAGGCCATGCTGGGTGTCCCCCTCCAGGTACTGAGTAGGTATACGACATAAACTTAGTACAGTGAGTAATTCTACTTGTTCTTCATGGTGTGCTAGTGGGAAGGATCACAGGGTGGGTTAGCAGGGAGTCTGGGTGTATGAGCTGGGTGGGTGTGTGTATGGGGTAGCAGAGATCGTGGGTGGGTGGATGGGTGGGTGTATAGGCTGACAGGGAGCGTGGGTGAGTGGGTGTGTAGATGGGCGGGTGAGGAGGGAACCTGGGTGTGCGGTTGTATGGGTTAGCAGGGAGCCTGGATGGGCATGCGAATGGGTTAATAGGGTAGCCTAGGTGGGCGTAAGGTATAGCAGTGAGACTGGGCGGGTGTATTGGCCTACAAGGAGCCTGGATGGGTGGGTGTATTGGGTAGTAGGGAGCCAGGGGGGGTTGGTGTATGGATTAATAGGTAGCCCCTGTGGGTGGGTGGGTGGGTGGGTTGGTTGGTGAGTACAGTATATGGGTTAGTCGGAAGCCTATGCGTGGGTAGGTATTGTATATGGGGCTAGTAGGTAGTCTGAGTGGGTGGGTGGGTTGGTTGGTGAGTATATGGGCTAGTAGAAAGCCTAAGCGTGGGTAGGTGTAATGGCTAACAAGTAGCCTGGGTAGGTGTATTGGCTAGCAGGGAGACTGGGTGGGTAAGTATACTGACTAGCAGGGAGCTTGGGTGGGTGGTTGGGTGTATGGGCTAGCAGGAAAGATAAGTTTGTGAGCTAGCAGGGAGCCTGTGTGTGTTGGTAAATGGTTAGCAGGAAGTCTGGGTTGATGGGTGGGTCGGTGCCAGGGTTGGTAGGGAGACTGGATGGGTGGTTGCATGAGGTAACAGGGATGGTGGGTTGATGGGTTTAGGGGATAACATGGAGCTTGGGTGGTTGCAAAGGGTTGTAGGGAACTAGAGTGGGTGGGCTGCTCACTTTGAATGTGTTAGTTTGACAACAACTTTGCAGGAACTAAATTAGACATGAGTTTTAAATAAATTGTGATTGGAAGGACAATGTACTGTACATATTAACGTACAAATGTCTTTTGTGAACAAAGTCTCTCACTAGGTCTTACAGTACAGACACAAGACCTACCTCGAGGTATTCCTGCAGCTTATTCTTCTTTACATTACTGTTGGCTACGCTCGGCTGACGAGGCGTCATAGGCAACTCCCGCGGGGGTAATCTGCAGGCACACTAGAGGTACATAACTGTGACCTTCACACTCATTCAGTTTTCTTCACTATGTAATTTGAATATGTGAGAAATGTAAAGATAACTAACTTAATAGAAAAGGACCTGGAGTTATTAAAGCCCCAGAAAGCGGTTCATAAAACAAAGGGAGAAGAGGTTGCATGAGTCGTCTGCCTGGCGGGCAACAGTCCTTATTGAAGCAAGAGTAAAGACGCATCATACTGGCGCTGGTGTAGTATTTTCCCTGAACCATTAGATGAGATTTCTGTGAACATCGTATAATAGTAGTTAATCCGGGACTATAGTTGTAAGCATAACGACACCCAGATAGACGAAGGTGAGATGCGTGCCATATGGAGATGGCAGCTGGCATCTCCCTGGATTCCAGGAAGCCATATCATAGCTGCAGGAGGTGATGGTGCCGATGTGCGTGTGTGGGTTCTGTTATATTACTCCCAAGGTTTGTGTTGGTCTTTGATAATAATATTAGAACAAATTTACTATGAAACTGTAGGTTCAGTGTACTGTATGAGTTACCATGGCTCTGTGTTAGGAGGATCTGTGACGCTGTACCATATTTTACTTTGTTTCAGAGCCATTTAATAAATGACAAGTATCTACAGTATATGTATACAATTCACGTTCAAAAGCCCCTGAAGCCTGACTTACTCAGAGAAACATACAATACTTCAAATTATGTTTCAGTGAAGTCCTTGGATATTGAACTGCATTTGGTTCCAGTGTTATTTATAATAATAACAGGAAATGTCTGTCCGAGAGTGTGTCTGTGTCTGTCCGTCTGTCTCAGCTCTAGCTCCAAAACGGAAGTAACTAAGAGCCCTGAAACCTTACACACATATTACATGGGTCCCAAGGTTGTGCACTTTGGTATTACTATTGACCACGGACCCCAGGGTGGTCAGGGCAAGAAACAAAAATCTTCCCTAACTGAGATACCGCCACGGCAATTACGGGAGATGATTACCCATTAGGGTGTGTCATAGGAGGGAAGATCAGCTAAAACTAATGGCCCATCACTTTTTTGGTAGATTTTAGTGTATATAAACAGAAAATAATTTCAGTTTCAATATTTTGCAACCTTTTGCTAGGTAAATTTTAGCGTGAAATTTTTCGAAAATCTAACGTACAGCTGCATTAGTGCATTACAATTAAATAGTGAACATTGCTTTCTGACTTCATTCTTTAACAACCCAACTAACAATATTTTTTTCTGTTTCAGATTCTGATGCATTTATAAGTTGATAATATTTGCGATGGCTGCTTGTGTCAGGACGAGGAACCAAAAATCCAGCCATCTCAGTCACTATCTTGGGTCTGGGAGAGAGCTCCTGAAGTCGGAGTTGCCTACATTGAGAGATGCTTTGAGATACGGTGTTTTAATCAGGCAAATCAGTGAAAAGAACCAAAGAACTTACACAAACAAAGACATTGCCAGTGATATAACCAAAGCTGTCTTGGCACAGTACACTCTGGCTAACGCTCAGTTCAAGCCTCCAGTCATAAAAAGTCAGAAGAAGATTAGTGAGAGACTGCTAGCCAGTTGGGAAAAGGCAAGAGATATCTCTCTTGGGAGAGGAAAACTTGCAGTTAAGGACAGCTTTGCCAAGCAACTGGACCAGTTATTTGACATAATTACTTGCAAGTGCCCAATTGTTCTCTGTCCTGAGTTTGGATGCGATCGTGACTGTTAATCCGAGGCCCACATCTCCTGTATTTGCAAGCGTGAACTGAAGATTCCTGTGATCGAACTGGCATTTGTCAAAGCACAGAGAGAGAAGACTGGCAGTATAGGGGCTCTCATGATTTCTAGCCAAGATATTCCGGAGTCCAAGAGACAGGAGGCTGCCACAGAGAGACAGAAGAGGAGAAGAGTTGCCGAGGAAAAGAGACTTGAGAAGGCCCAGGGTGAGGTAAAAAAGGCCGATGATTGGAGTCAAGCTGATTCAGAGTTTAATGACTTCCCCATGGCTGATCCAAGTGCTGACCAAGAGAATGGTGACTTTGTCCCTAACCCAGAAAATAATGATCCCAAACCTTCCAGGCATAAGATTCGAAATAGGAAAGATATCCCGAGCATAGCTCTGGCCAGCATGCGATACCACACTGGTCTCAGAGAAACTGCAGAGATAGCAACAGCTGCCTGGGTTGACGGTGGTTTGATAACACCTGATGATGTTCACCTGGTGATAGATCATAACAAAGTAAGGAGAGCTCAGGAGAAACTTGTCAGTAACCTAGAAGAGGAGTTTGATAAGGGATAAGAGAAAATGGAATCAATTGTTTGTTCTTTGATGGGAGAAGGGATGACACTAAAGTGTTCATGAAAGTTGGAGATTCTGACAAGTTGTTCCCTGCCATGGTGAAGGAGGAACACTACTCCTGCTGCAGTGAACCAGGGGGGAAGTATTTGTGGCATTTCACTCAAGAGAAAGATGACATCAGGAAACCAGCTGAGATAGTGGCAGATAACATTGTGAACTGGCTCAGAGAGAGGAACGTAGACCAGACCCTGCAGGCCATTGGAGGGGACAGCACCAACACGAACACAGGGTGGCAAGGGGGGGTCATACAGTGGATAGAGCGGAAGATTGGGAGGAAGCTGGTCTGGATTGTTTGTGACCTCCACACCAACGAGTTGCCACTCAGACATCTGATCCAGGAGCTGGATGGCAAGACTCTTTCAAACAACAGATGGTCTGGTCCTCTTGGCAAGATGCTGGACTCTGCCACTGAGTTAGAAATAAATCCGAGCTTTGAAAAAATCACAGTTGGCCCTCCACTCGTTGAGCTTGCACATACTGTCATTGACGACCTGAGTACTGACCAGTACTATGGTTACATGATTTGCAGTGCCATCAAAACTGGGGTCATGAATGATAGACTTGCTTACCTGCAGATAGGTCCAGTCTCATATTCTAGGTGGCTCACAACGGCTCTCAGGTTCTGCAGAATTTGGGTCGCTCATCATAAACTGAAAGGGAACCAGCTTCACAACCTGAGACTTATTGTCCAATTCATCGTGAGTGTCTACTTGCCAAATTGGTTCAACACCAAGGTCAAGTCATCATTCTCCGAAGGTCCGAGGCATGTTCTCTTCCAGCTTGAGCTCCTGAGGAGTCAGCCAAGGAAGGTTGTTCAGATTGTGGAGCAGACTGTGAGGAGATCTTCCTGGTATGCTCATCCCGAGGCAGTTCTGCAGACAATGCTCTGCAGTAAGGATGAGGAGGAGAGAAGAGTGGCAGTCAAAAAGATCTTGGATATGAGACTTATGAGAGGATCTGGGCATGACGAATCAGATGGTGACGATTCCTTCAGGGTCAGGAAGACTCCTGAAGTCAATCTAGGTGCCAGGACCCTCACTGATCTCATAGATCTGGATAACATCCAGGCTGGCAGTGAGTCCCCTCTTACCTGCAGCCTCACCAATGTTCAAGTCAGAGCTTTCCTGGACAACCCCATGCATGTCCCTGCCTGGCCCTCGCACACCCAGAGTATAGAGCGTTGTGTACAGCAAGTGAGCGAGGCCAGCAGTCACGTGTACAGCCAGGAGAGGAGGGAAGGCTACATCCGAGCTCAGGTGGTCAGCAGGGAGGTGATGAGTAGAAACATAAGCAAGAAAGACATGTTCTCTATGGTGTGCAGCAACACCGGGTCGTAGTAGTAAAACCGGTTTTTGTATTTGATGATTTTGTTTTCTAAAGGAATATTAAATTTAATAAATGTGTCAAGATCATTTGTTTCACTATTCTGGATCATTTTCATCCTAATAAATTAACCTGATACATTTACTTTACTTTAAATAAGCTATTTAGTGGTGTTGGTAAAAGGGTGGGAATACTGAATTTTCATAAGATTTCAAGTTAAAATTTACCTAGCAAAAAATGAAAACTTTTCAAATCTGAAGATATAACATGATTCTGCACATAGAACTACATCATTAATACCATGGGCCGATTTTTCAAACTCAAAAAAAAAATCCGCCTCCGTATGACACACCCTATTACCCATGTCAGGGAGGGCAAACTGTGACAGTCAAGTTTAAATAGTACACTGTACAACTAACCCGTGCGAATCCGAGTAATTTTGTTAATGTTGATATAAGACTGTAAAGGGACGTTGCATCCTACTCATCATAAAAGAACGTTGCATCCTACTGTACTTAATATAAGTATACACGAGAATCATTACGTGGGTGATGTTCCTTTGTTCAGCTTGTCCTTGAGTTTGTCCCTGAAGACGACAGCAGCGACTATGACAGCCAACAGCAGGACGCCCACCAACACACCCGCCACGATGCCTCCTACATTCACGCCCTTATCGGTCGTCACCACCTCCCATTCTGGTGGTCCAACACCTCCAGCCGTTATTGCCTGAAGGCGAACGTGAGCAGCAAAAATGACAATAGCCTGCTAAAGTAATCATATAAAGATCATGTGTGTGGTAATGAGACATAATCGTTAACACTAATTATTATGTCTTCACCAGTATTGTTACAAGTAGTTAAGTGGTTACTTACGTGTGTGTTGGTATGTGTGCTCGATTTGGTGGTTGGGTTTAATGTTCGCGTTTCCAAATGTAAAGTATATTGATATATGATGCTGAAATATTATATCTGGTGTTGTTGATGCATAATGTTATTGTTTCTGATATTGTTGTTATTTGATGTTCTTTGTAATGTAATGTCTTAAGCATAAAAATGTGTTAAAAATAAGTGACACTAATATAGAGGATTAGCCAAATAAAGTTCCACATTAAATAGTGGTAGGTTTGGGATCCCTCAGCAGGACTCTCACTTTTAAGGTAATTACCTTAGTTCTAGGTAATTTGGGTACATTTAAGGACATTTTTAAGGTAATTCTGAGGAAAATTTGAGTGATTTCATCAATCTTAAACACGGAAGAGATTGTGACCCTTTTGCCATTGATGTTCATAATGTCAATCTAAGAGTGCCCATTAAGCAAGTACATGTTGGTATTCTTGCTACCGAAACACTTTCACAATCTGCCATTAGTAGTGACATTGAGGGAGTCAGAAAGTTCAAACAAAGCTGTCAGATATTCTTAATTGAATTAGTGGTGCAAATTAGGTCAAGGTTTAGAACTGGTCCTTTTAAAATGTTAGAATTTTTGAAACTAGAAAATGCGTTAGATAGAAAATCCAGCAGTCTAGGGGAAATATTTGTAACTCTACCTTACTTTGAAAAAAAATGTGAAAAACTTGTTGCAGATATATAGTGGAGACAGTTAAGCTTAGATGATCAATTTACGGAGGAAAAAGATGATGCTCAATTCTGGAAAAACAACTCCTGTTGAAAAATGAAATAGGAGAGTCAAAATTCCCAAATCTCGCCAAAGTTTTTGGTTGTGCATTATCCTTACCACACTCCAATGCACCTGTAGAAAAAATCTTCAACCATTTGCGAAGAATTAAAACAGATATTAGAAGATGTTTGAAAAGTACTAGTCTAGTGAATTTACTGCACACCAAAAATGGTCTTAAAATGAAAGGAGTTTGTGTGATGTCGTATTGTTGATATATTGCTGTTAAGAGTTGATTCTTATATTCTGCCCCGTTATCTGAGAGTATCACTCTAGGTGTAGAAAAGGACAAATAAGATGAATGACTAACGCATGAGCCACTGCTTCGGCATACTTATTCTGCAATGGTGTTAGTACCACAAATCTAGAAAAGTGGTCAACGCAGACAAGTATGTAATTAGAGCCTTGATGACTTTTTGGTAGTTGCAATAAATCGATGGCAAGTGTATCCCATGGATGTTTAGGTGTCGGGTATTCTAAGATTGGAGCAGGATCCATCGTTGTTCCCTTGTGTTTTGCACAAGATAAACACTTAGCAATGTGATGCTCGAAGACGGTCCTCATAATTTTTCAATAATATTTTTGTCTAATTTCCGTTAGACATCTGTCTCGCCCTGGATGCCCAGCTTGGGGTGCATCATGGAAGAGGGTGAGGATGTTTTCCTTTAGTGATGAAGGAATAACAATTTGAGAGATTGACTCTTGTTGTGTTTTCAGTGAGCGATATAGTATGTCGTGCCACAGCTCAAACTGTTAGAGTGGCAGAGGTAATTTGGGCAAATTTACCTCATCTCCCGATTCTAAGACATAAATAACCTTGGACCACAGTGGTTCCTGTAATTTTTCCGCCCTTAATTGTGACAGGGAGAACGTTGGTAGTGGCGTGACAGGAACTATGTGTCTAGATAGCGAATCAGCTGCCACGTTCGTACGACCCGGCAAATACTTGAAGTCGGGTGCAAACTCCTGTATGGTCAGATACCAACGCGCTAAACGCCCTGATAAGTTCTTCCAATTAGATAGTTTTGCCACGGATCCATGATCTGTGTGGACTGTGATCGTCAAAAATGAGATCCCGAAAATGCTTCAGAACCCACACTACAGCTAATGCTTCCAAGTGAGTAGCTAAATAACGTGTTTCTGCATCGTTGAGGGTGCGACTGGCATATGCTATTACACGCCATTTCTCCTGATGATCAGTTTGCATGAGCACCGCCCCTAATCCAAATCACACCAATACCGTAGTCATGCACATCAATACCGTCACCACTCCAGTGCAAGCTCCAGCAGTTACAGTGGTTGCCCATCCTCTCCAGTTAGTGTAGTCTGCCAAACTCCTGGGTGTAACTATAGACCACAAACTGGACTGGAAGGCCCATGTAAACAACACAATCAAGGCAGCCTCGTACCGATTCTACATGCTACAATGACTCAGGTCACTTGGGGCATCCACGCCAGAGCTGAGGACTTTCTACAACGCATTTATTCTCCCCAAATTAACGTATGCATCACCAGCCTGGTCTCTTCTCTCAACTCTACCCAACAACGTCAGCTAGAGAAGGTACAGAAGAGGGCCTGCAGAGTCATGCTCGGCGCAGACTACTCCGGCTACAACAACGCTCTCTCCACCCTGAAAATGCCATCCCTCAGTGACCTCCACCGCCACGCATTAGCAGGGTTTGGCAGTGGACTTTGGCAGTGGACGACTGCACCATCCTCGCCATCGCCACCTACTGCCACCGGCAGTCCCCTGTCCACCTCGCTCAGTCCGCCACTACAACAAAATTCAGCCCATAAAACCCGCACTGGTAGATATAAGAATAGCACCATCCCATCTATTGTTAAAATAATAAACAGCTCCTGATTTATGTACTGTACAGCCCTGTAAATGTATTGAACGTATATTATTATGTTTAAATCACATGTAAGTTTGCATATTTTCAGCCACCGGCTACAACTCTATTAATAAACCGTTTATTATTATTATTATTTAAAATTTTAAATGGTTTCGTGTAGTCCGGATAGGCCAACATCGGAGCGTTTGTTAAAACGCTCTTAAGGGCATTAAAACTGTCCTCTTGTTCTTTTTTCCACATATACTCTACGTTCTTTTCGAGGAGTTTAGTGCGTGGTGAGGCTAACTTGGCATAACATTCAATGAAAGAACAGTAGTATCCTGATAATCCTAGGAAACTATGAAGTTGATCTACGTTCTTGGGACAAGGGATCTGCTTCACCGCCTTTACCTTACGATCTACTGTGTGTATACCGTTGCCATCCACTACGTGTCCGAGAAATTGGATTTTGGATTTAAGAAATTCACATTTAGAAAGTTTCACTTTCAATCCAACTATTTGTAGCTTTGTGAAAACCTTTCGTAGTTTCTTTAAATGGCTTTGTAAATTTTTCCTTACTATGATAAGATCATCTAGGTAGGCCTAGACTGTGGTACCTATCATTTCAGCAAACAAGGAATTATTATTCTTTGGAATGTTAGCGGCGTATTTCTCAAGGCAAATGGCATTCTTAAGAATTCGAAATGTACCGTTGGTGTACTGAACGCAGTTACCTTGCGGGATTCCTCCTGTAAGGGAATTTGCCAGTACCCGCTTAGTAAATTTAAATTACTGAAGACGGCGTTGTCTTAACCAAGATACTGTAGTATTTCAGTTAGGACAGGTATTCGGAACCTGTCTGGTACAGTTGCCTGATTGACTCGTTGAAAATCTGTGATTGGTCTCCATCCTCCATCTTTCTTGGGAACAAGAAATAAAGGCGAGTTCCATGGTGATGAGGAAGGTTGCATTTCCTTTTATTCCACCATGTATTGTACCATCTGTTGGGTTACTGCCCTCTGGCTGTGTGGTAGCCTATATGTTGGTATGAAGGTCGGGTGAGTGTCCAGCTTGAATGAAATATGATGGTTTGTCAACGTTGTTTTACCTAGGGGTTCTCCAGGTAATGCTATGATTTCCTTGAACTCGGTTAGTAATTCTACAAGATCACATTTGCCTTGTGGATGATCGACTACTTTCACGTGTGGCACTATTAACGCTGCTTTATCTACAATACGTGATTTTTCTTTCGATTCCCCCTGTGTTATACTACCAATTGGTAATTCTATTGGCTCCACGACAACCGCTTTGTCGTAAACAAGGAAATTACCTAAACAACATCCCTTTCTTAAGGTTGTGGGTCCCCCAGTGATATTGAGAGAGAACAAGGACATCTGTGAGACTACCTGACCTGACTGTGCTTAAGGTAAAGGCAAGTGACGCGCCTTTCACTCGTGAACTTTCACTCAGACACACAACATCTGTTCCTTCATTCACATTTGGCAAACGTACTGTGACTTTAGTTAGTTCCTGGCTATGTAACCGTTGTACTCCAGTTAACACAGCAGGCGTTAGACGCCAGTTCGTGCTGCTTTCATCAGAAATGTCCTTTGAGCTACTAGGTGAAGTTTCAGGGAGTGACTCCATAACTAATTGCTTCTGTGTCAAGGACTCCCCCGTGCCTGTCGAGGCAGTTATTATACGAGCACCTAAAGTAAGCAATGGATGTGAAGTTTGCATTGCGTGATATTTTTTTTTTACAATTATGTGTTATGGTTTCATTTCATGGCTGAACGTTAATGTTGTTCTGCCTTAGGGTGGGAAGACCAAGTAACCTGTCCGCTGGCAAAGAAAATGCCTCGACTACATAGAAATCCGCCAGAAAAGTTTTATTGGTCCTAGAAAAACGGATTGGCAGTGTTATTATCCCCGCTATGTCTAATTGGATTCCTGACACACCGGACAGAGGAATGTCTGTAGGTCTTATTGACCACTTATTTGGAGGATATCGTCGCTTGAGTTCAATTGAACGGCGCTAATGAGATGACATTGGGACAAACTCCCTTATCTATGTCTAGGGATAACTGATTGTTACCTCATTGGGTATGACTTTGCTTGGGAGATTGGTATCCCCGCATCCCCTGAGCAACGCTCTTGTGCATTATGCAGAAGACCCGACAGCCGCACCCTTATCCACTACCTCCTAAGATGTCCCCACGCACAACGCTTCCGTGACGCCTGCTGGACCACCACTCCACGACCCCCTGACGGAGACACGATGATCCTCCCCATACTGGCCAGATATTTTGTAAATAATATTGATTATGTGTTAAAGGAATATCCTTCCTTCCTTAGGCTTTAGTAAGCCCCTTTATAATATTTATACTGTATATACTTGTGACACTTGCCAGATGCTTCTGGTGTTATTGTACAGGGGTACCTAGTGACAGCACTAGGATCCCGCTTCCTCTATCAAGGAATAAACAATTGAAATTGAAAAAATTAAATTGATTGTTACCAATCCTCGCTGGTCCAGTCAACACCTCCACTTTGTTTAACATAGCGATTAATGGGCCGGTGATGGAAGCGTTGTTTTCTTGAACAGTTGACGCTATCCTAGATCGTGTTGCTGGATGCGCTCCTCTTCCCCCGAAGGCTGTCTCCCGTCGATTTTCAATCTCTTGCCTCTGACGCAGTAGAATCCTGCAATCTTCTGTGCTGTGGTATGGAGACTGATGTACTAAACACCATTTATTCGGAGTACTTTTAGTGTCTGTAGACATTTTATTTCCTGTGTAGTTTCCCTTTGGACGTTTTGGTTTAGCAAGACTTCTGGATTTTTAAAGTCCTGGATGAAGCCTTTTCCTCGATCTTGCCGACTGGCTGGGTACTTATCTGCTTGTCCTGCAAACCAACTATTTTCTGTGGTATGTTCCTTACGTTTACAGACTTTGCAAAAAGGTATCTTTTTGGGTTTGGTTTACGTGACGATTTGTGGTTGTTCCTTAGAACTGTGACGGTGCTACCGACAGAGCCCTAGGAGTACGTTCCATCGGTTCAGCAATTTCCTCCACATAGTCTACTAGCTTAATCCCTACTTTAAATTCTTTCTTTCGGGCTTTCTTGCGTGTGAGCTCGCGTGGATGTCATATTTTTGACTTGACCTCATGTTTTGTAAGGTCACACTGTGTACAAAAGCCTCTCTCAGTCCTTGTAATTCAGTTGCCTCTGAAGATACCTTGAATAAAGACGAAAGCTAAGGTGCTCCATTGTTTCCCTTTCCCCGTGTGATTTTATCAATATATATATATATATATATATATATATATATATATATATATATATATATATATATATATATATATATATATATATATATATATATATATATATATATATATATATATCGTGTAGATCCAATATGAAAACGTGGATAAGATAAATCTTGATAAAATCACACAGGGAAAAGGAAAACATTGGAGCACCTTCGCTTTCGCCTTTATTCAAGATATCTTCAGAGGCAACTGAATTACAAGGACTGAGAGAGGCTCTTACAGA